AGTGAAAGAGGAGAGTGAAAAAGTTGGCTTAAACCTCAACATTCAGAATACTAAGATCATGGCATCTGGTTCCATCACTTCATGGGAAAGAGATGGGGAGATGGTGGAAATAGTGTCAGACTTCATTTTTTTGGGCTCCAAAATCACTGCAGATGATGATTGCAGCCATGAAATTAAAAGACGCTTACTCCTTGGAAGGAAAGTTATGACCAACCTAAATAGCATATTAAAAAGCAGAGATATTACTTTGCCAACAAAGGTCCATCTGGTCAAGGCTATGGTTTTTCCAGTGGTCATGTATGGATGTGAGAGTTGGACCATAAAGAAAGCTGAGCACCAAAGAATTGCTGCTTTTGAATTGTGGTGTTGGAGAGGACTCTTGAGAGTCCCTTGGACTGCAAGGAGATCCAACCAGTCCATCCTAAAGGAGATCAGTTCTGGGTGTTCATTGGAAGGACTGATGCTGAGGCTGAAACTCCAATACTTTGGCCACCTGATGAGAAGAGCTGACTCATTGGAAAAGACCCTGATGCTGGGAGGGATTGGGGGCAGGAGGAGAAGGGGACGACAGAGGATGAGATGGCTGGGTGGCATCACCAACTCGATGGGCATGAGTTTGGGTAAACTCTGGAAGTTGGTGATGAACAGGGAGGCCTGGCATGCTGCGATTCATGGGGTCGAAAAGAGTCGGACACGGCTGAGCGACTGAACTGAACTGAACCTAAATTGGGAGGCTCTTCCAGATTCGTTGCTGACAATAATTTAACCATTGTTATTTGTTATTTGGATTTCTCTCCTGAGAGATTTAGAATTTACAAGGAGTCAACACAGTTTCAAGATTGTTCACAGAGCCAGTAGCCCAATCTTCCCCATTCACACACAGTGGTCTGGAACCAGAGGAAGAAAAGATAGCGAGTGTAGACTAGCACAGCCTGGTCCTTACCCTGGACTCAGAAATGAGGTATAGCCACCTTGTAAAGAGAGGTGGCAAGAAGATCAAAGAGATTTTTCATGAGGGCTTTGCTGAGCCTTGGGAGTTAAATACTTCTGGTATTTTGCAGCTTTGGGAGCATGAAGAAGCAACACCCTGGACAGTGGCTTGAGGGCGCGGGTCATCGCCAGAGCAGGCAGAGGAGATCACGAGGGGAAATTTCCTCACGCACACCTGTGGCGTTTCCCAACAATTCTCACGAGTAACCGGAAGAGACTTCTAAGACAAGCCTGAGGTCTTGTGCTAGCACGTGGGGCTAACTACCCAGTGACAGGTAGTCGATACCACTACAAGCTCATTTGTTCCCAAAGACAGTGAGATCTGTTGACATTCGTGACCCACACGACAAAAATACATCATAATTTTTATTGAAGTAAATTCCTGACAACATACAATTCAAGGCATTCTGCAGACACAGTAGGCTAAAAGCGGAGCGTGTGTGCTTAGCCAATCAGTCATGTCTGCCTCTTTGCGACCCCATGGACTATAGCCCTCCAGGCTCCTCTGTCCATGGAATTCTCCAGGCAAGAATATTGGAACGGGTTGACATTCCCTTCTTCAGGGGATCTTCCTGACCCAGGGATTAAACCCAGGTCTACTGTATTGCAGGCAGATTCTTTATTGTTTGAACTACCTGGGAAGCCCAGTGTCTCCTTCAAAAATAACAGCTGAAAATAATTTTCGTTGCAAATTGTAGAGTTTATGCAAGCCATACTCATGTGAATAAAATAAGGACATGTTCTGGTATACCCTAAGAGTGCCTTAATTTTGCATTAGACTGGCAGGGTGTTTTTGATGTGGTCCACATCCTTGCCTCTGCGAGGCCACTGGTCAGTGATTTTCAAATGCATCCCCTCACCCACAGCGAAATCTGACATGACATTGTATGTAACACAGATCAAAGGAGAGCAGCTCTGAGGAAGTCAGTCATGACTGGGCACAGGGCTTACACATGTTGGCCTAGAGTACCTCTGCTCTGAATTTGAGGCAATTTTGCGGAGACTTCGCTCTGCATCTATTTTGCTGTTGTCTCTGTTTATGCAGTTTTAATTATTCAGATGATTTGGACCCCTTTGGCTATTCATCTGTTAGTCTGGGTCATGGTTCCCTCAAAAATGTCAGAGATAGTGTATTTTCCCAATCCTCGACCCTGTAGGTAAAGAAAGAATTTCCAAGGCAAAGTTCTCCCTTGAGGGACAGAGATAGGAAGCAGTACTTTCTGTTTCTTATGAGACAATTATGTTAAAGTAATAGAATTTCCAGATTCACAGGTGAAAGGGGCCTGTCTACCATTTTAGCCCTTTGTGTACTGGGCTCACCATCCCTTTGGGACTGAGACTTCCTTGAGAGAAGGGACCATTGCTTACTCATATTTGTATTCCATGCCATTCCTAGCACAGAGAGGTGTTCTGAAAAATGTGGCTAAATTGAATTGAAAAAAGAAAAGAAGTCACTCTAGGATTGAATTATACTCCAAACACATCTGCTTCTATGGATGTGAGAAACACTTTTTTAATGTTAAGATTAAATTTTAACTTTGCTTGAGCATGTCATCAAAAAAAATTTGAACTTTTTAATTTCTGCTTTAAGACTGAAAATTATTTTCTCCTTAAAAGAAAATTGTTTAAAGCCTCTATGTGTGCAAAGAATTGTGCTCAGTACTTTCATATGTCTTGTGGCATATCTTCAGGTACTTTCTATTTCCTTGTCAATTGAACAGGGGCCTGTTTTGTCAAATTATCCAATTTTAATATTTAATTTATTATTAGTTGTTGATATTTTAATACTAGGTACACTATCCCCTCAGGTGGGTCTTTTATCCTCTTGTTACAGAAGAGAAAGTGGAAACTCTGATGATGGAGGACTCGAGCAACTCCAAGGGGAACCCAGACTTTTCTGACTAAAGGCACCGTGCTTTTTCTTCAGCTCCACGGTTTCATTTCTTTCCCTTCTATACTTTATGAACTTTCTTAACCTAAGCATCCCTATCTCTTCAGTTATTAATCATGTCACCCTTTTCAATCTCAAAAACACTGTCTCCAAAGTTATTTTTTTTTTTTGGTTGTTGCTGTTGTTCATAGTGACATTCATGCAGAGATTCTTGAATGGGTGGAATGTTGGGATAAACGGACTGTAGAGAGTTGAGGAGATGCACTCATATACAAGTCTGAGAAATTCTGAGTTGTGGGAGGATGTTTTGTAGAGGAGCCACATGTTTTGTAGGGTATGTAAATTGCCTTAAGCACCAAGTTTGAACCCTGGGTTGAGAAGATCCCCTGGAGGAGGGCATGGCAACCCGCTCCAGTATTCTTGCCTGGAGAATCCCCATGGACAGAGAAGCCTGGCAGGCTATAGTCCATGGGGTTGCAAAGAATCAGACACGACTGAGCGGCTAACACACTTTTCCCCTTGCCCGCCTCACTCCAAAGAAACAAACCTGACCAAAGGATTTATTTGGGATCTGTATTTATCATCATAATATTCTGAAAGCCAGGGTACTGCCCATAGATCCCAGAGGTCTGGTCCCTTTGAATTTTTATTGTTTACCTGTTCTAGTCTTTTGCTATTTAGAATATAGGCCTTGGGCCACCAGGGTCACCATCTCTTGGAAACTTGCTAAAAGTGCAATTAGCAGGTCCTACCAGAGGCCTATTGAATCAGAAGATCTGTTGTGATGCCTAAGCACATTAGAGTTTAATGTAGTTATACTAGCATAGTTTTTGCCAGCAATCTTGGTCTCTTTTCTTGGAATCCTACCTTTTCTCTGCTTAAAATATATGCATGCACATATCTGAATTTAATTCTTGATTATTTTGGTGAGGTTATTCTAATACATGTATTATTCCATAGGCCTTTCAAAATTAGCTGCCTTTTGGAATGTCATTCAATTAATCAGATAATTCTAGTTTTCTTTGGGCTTCCCTGGTTGCTTGGAGGTTAAAGTGTCTGCCTGTAATGCGGGAGACCTGGGTTCGATCCCTAGGTTGGGATGATCCCTTGGAGAAGGAAATGGCAACCCACTCCAGTATTCTTGCTTGGAGAATCCCATGGACGAGGAGCCTGGTCGGTTTGCTATGTTACGTTGATGTCAAGAACCATGTTTTATTTACCTTTGTGCCTACATGATTTCTTGTATGTAAAAGCTCAGTAAGTTGAAAGCTGAATGAATTTTGATTGAATGAGTGAGTGCATGGAAGAAGAGGAATCTATTTAGATGGCACATTCCTTAAGACTCTGGCAATGTCTTAGCTACCACTGAATTGCCAATGCTTCAGAGAAAACCTATCAATAAAATGCTTATTATTGTAGCTGTTAGGTGGGGAGATGTTGTATATTTATTCCTGGCATAAGACCCCAGAGAGCACAAACAGAAAAGGAAATAAAATGGAGCGCTAAGTACAGTGCTAGGCACCTCCACAATTGTTATCTCAGCCAATCATCACAGCATCTTGTCAGTGGGTATTTTTTTACTGAGGCTGAAGCCGAGTTCTTAACTTGAAGCACCTCGCCCAAGTTCACGCAGCTAGGGTCAGAGCCTCATTAAGTTTTGGAAGTCATTTGCCATATCATTGTGTGCACTGCCCTGTTTTCTGTAGAGACTGGAAAGTGGAAAAGGAATGATCCTTTATGACAAAACACAAAAATACACAACTTTCTGATTTCCCCTGATGCATCAGAGGCTCTGTAGATCTGGAGGAAAGAGACCCTCTTTTTGCCTTTCCACCACAGACTAAGCGGGAACAATGGAATGGAAAAGCTACTCTCGCCTCCTCCCCCACTCCGCAGGTCGTTTTCTGCCAGCGGAACGCAGGTGCTGGGCCTTCAGGCTTGAGGGGGGACCAGAGAAGAACGGACTCACGGCCTGGCAGTTGCCTAGTAACGCCCGCTGGAGGAGTCCCAGCGTAATAAGGTCCCCGAGAAGTGTCACTGGTCTGGAGTGGGACCCCGAACATAGCCAGTGCTCTCCGCGCTAGCGGCCCCCGCTACTTGGCGGGGTAGGACAGGGGAAATGTTGCAGGAGGAGTCGGATCTGTCTCTCATTATTGCCCAGATAGTCCAAAAGCTCAAAGGCTCCAATTTGTACGCTCAGTTGGAACGGCAGGCCTGGGTAAGTGAGCCTATGGGAAGGGATGGAGACCCGCGGGGCCGCGGCGTTGCCCGGCTCCTTCTGCCTCCGGCAGACCTAAGCCCGAGCCCGCCTCGGCTCTCTTCAGCTCCGCTCCTGGGCACGGAAAATCCTCCCTGCCCCTGGTTAAGCTCCACTTGTTCAGTCTCGGGCGTCGGGTAATATATTTATTTTTAAAGTAGGGTGGGGCACATCATGCCTTTCTTTTAGGCCAGAGCACCGCTGAGGCTATTCATTCATAATGTAGAGCTTTACAGGATCTAATTATTTAAGCTGCTGAAATCGTTGGAGGTAGGTTAGAGTATACCTTCCTTCGCTTTTTCCATCCTTTGGGTGTGTTTGAGCCCCCAGGTTCCTTTTGACTTTAGCTTCTATGACCTTGCTGTCTACCCTCCGTGCAATGATTCCGCCTCTAATGGCCCACCAGGCATTCATTGTTTTCTAATGTGTTAGGTTCTTTGGATGCAGAGATTGATCAGGAGACCTTTGCCTTTTTTTGTGAATGTAACAAATGGAATCATACAGTATGTGAATTTTTGTGCTTGGTTTCTGTCATTTTGCATAATTTGAGATTCATTCATGTAGTTCCTCTTTCAGTAGTTATGTTTCTTTTTATTGTTGAGTAATATTTCATTGTTCGAAGGTACTGCGATTTGTTTATCCATTCCTTGGTTGTTGGGCACTTTCAGTTAACAGAGTTATGGTTTGTTTCCATTTATAAACATTATGAGTAAAGCTGATATATGTTTCCTGGTCTAGTTTGTTCGTTTAATTTTCTTTTCTCTTGAATAAATACTCTGGAGTGGAATTGCTGAGTTGTATGGTAAATGTATGTCTATAAGAATCTACCAAACTTTTCCAAAGTGGCTGTATTATTTTGCATTTCCACAGCAATTATGAGGATTGCTCTGCATCCTTGCTAGTGCTTGGGGTTAGTTTTTAATTAATCAATTTTTATTTGTAATTATACTCCTCTAAATCTTTTGCCTTTAAAAAGATGGTGTTTGTTCTCATACTGGTGAATTGTAGGGATTCTTTATGTATGACATAAGTCCCTTATTGGCTTCCCTGGTGGCTTAGTGGTAAAGAATCTGCCTGCTAATGCAGGAGATGTGGGTTCGATTCCTGGGTCAGAAAGATCCTGTGGAGAAGGAAATACTCGCTCCAGTATTTTTGCCTGGGAAATCCCATGGACGGAGGAGCCTGGTGGTCTACAGTCCATGGGGTGGCGAAAGAGTTGGATAAAACTTAGTGACTAAACAACATATGATTATTGTACACATTCTGTTAAAAATTTCCCCAAGTATTTCATGTTTTTTTGATACTGTTAAAATGCTGTTTTTTTTTCTTGTTTCAGTGTCCAATTATTTGTTCTTTTTTTTATTTGTACTTAGTATACAGAAACATAATTGATATTTGTATATCTACCATGTATCCTGGGGCCTTACTAAACCTGTGTATTTGTTATAATACCTTTTTTTGTAGATGACTTAGGATTTTGCAAGTCAGATGTCATTTGCAAATAAAAATGTTTTACTTCTTCCTTTCCAACCAGTGTGCCTTTTGATTCTTTTTCTTGCCTTGTTACACTGGCTAGTGATTCCAGTGTGATGTTGTCTAGATACTTTTTGTTAAGTTGAAGAAGCTTCCTTCTATTCCTTGTTTTCTGAGAGTTTTATTACTAATTGATGTTTTTTTTCTCAGATTTCATAGTTTATAATTTACTGTTGTGGACTCTATGAATTTTAACAAATAAATAATGACTTGTATCTAACATTGTACAGCATAGTTTTTGATATTGTGAAAATACTCTGTGCTTCTCTTGCTCATCCCTTCCTCCCCCTGAGCCTTAGGCAGCCACTTACCTTTTTACTGTCTCCATAGTTTTGCTTTTTTCAGGATGTCATATATGTAGTTGAAGTCATACAATATGTAGCCTTTTCAGATTGTAATATGAAAAGTATTACATATTAGTAATATGTATTTCAGTTTCCACCATCTGTTTATAGCTTGATAGCTTATTTCCTTTTAGTGCTGAGTAATATTCCATTGCCTGGATGTACGACCACTTGTCCATTCATTGAAAGATACTGGCTGCTTTCAACTTTTAGCAGTTATGAATAAAGCTGCTACAAACATTCATGTGCGTGTTTTTGGGTGGAGACATTTCCAACTCATGTAGGTAAATAACAAGGATTGTAATTGCTGGGTTATATGTAAGAATAGTTTATAAGGACCAGCTAACCTGTTATCCAATGCCTTGCTTTTTATTTTTATTTTTCAAATTAATTTTAAATTTTTATTGGAGTACAGTTGCTTTTTGACAGCTCCTTTCTCTTGCACTTTTGGCAGCTGAACTTTGTCTTGTGGCACATAATGGGTGAGAGATTCCTCCCTCTCCCTAGTGCTGACTTTCCTCTGCTTTGTACTGGTATAGGACTAGGGGCCTGCGAGGGTTTTCTTATGTTTCCATGAGGAAGGTAGTTTTTCATCAATCATAGTCCCCAGAGGCTTCCCCTGTGCCTAAGTGGTAAAGAACCTGCCAGCTGGTTCAGGAAACATGAGATGTGGGTTTGATCCCTGGGTCAGAAAGGTCCCCTGGAGGAGGGCATGGCAACCCACTCCTTGCCAGGTAAATCCCATGTACAGAGGAGCCTGGCGGGCTACAGTCCGTGGGGTCACAAAGAGTCAGACACGATTGAGTACACACGCATACACCCAGAACCTCTGCCTTGTCCAGAGGTTTAAGGCCTCTTCCTCAAATGAGAGGGGCGTTTGGGCAATGTGGCATGGTTGCATGCTGTTTTTGTAGTGGTGGCCTATCCTTTCTTGCACACCTGTGCTGCGGAAAGGGACCCTTTGCAGTTCCCTGCTCTGCCCTCAGCCCTGATGGAGACCTTTGGCAAAGAGCATGCAAGTGTGAATTCCCCTGTGTTTTGAGCTCCCAGTGTTTCTAAACTGACATACTAGCCCACATCTAATCTATAGCAGTTAATTTTAGCTGAATTTTTCTTTCTTGCTTGTACAGTAGCCTCCTTTTCCTCCTGTGCTTTGTCAAATAGTAAACAGTTTGTAGTTCCTTTTGTCTTTAGAGGGGCTTGTTACTGTTTGGAATTTAATTCATTTGATTGTCTTAAAACTTCATTTTTCTCTTGAGTTCAAAAGTTAAGATTTTGTAGATTATACCACTCTTTCTCATTGTTAGGGTGGGAGTAATATTTTCTTGTTCTGACTTTCCACATCCTATACATTATCAGAAATCCAATAATAAGTGTTGAAGGATTGAACCTATGTCAGTGAGAAAGATTGGTCTGTAATTTTCCTTTCTTGTAATGTCTTTGACAAGTTTGTATCAAGGTTATGCTGGCCTGATAAAATGGCATCTATTTGATGCAAGAGTGTTACAAGACAGTGTTATTTCCTTCTTAAATGTTTAGAAGAAGTCTCCATTGAAGGCTGTGCCTCAGATTTTCTTTTGAGAAGGTTTTTTTTTTTAATTAGTAAAGCTTTATTTTTTTAGGATGGTTTTAGGCTTATAGAAAAATTGGGCAGAAATACAGAGTTCTCATACATCTCCTCTCCTTACACACAATTTCCCTTATTAGCATTTTGCATTAGTGTGCTACATTTGTTATTATTGGTGAACCAGTTGATATTGATACATTACTGTTAAAGTCCACATTTTACATCATGGCTCACTCTTTGTATTATACAGGTCTATGGGTTTTGACAAATGTATACCATGTATCTACTATTCCAGTATCTTACAGAATAACTTCAGTTCAGTTCAGTTACTCAGTCATGTCCAATTCTTTGCGACCCCATGGACTGCAGCATGCCACACCTCCCTTTCCATCACCAACTCTTGGAGTTTACTTAAGTCCATTGAGTCGGTGATGCCATCCAACCATCTCATCCTCTGTTGTCTCCTTCTCCTCCTGCCTTCAATTTTCCCAGCATCAGGGCCTTTTCAAATGAGTCAGTTCTTTGCATCAGGTGGCCAAAGTATTGGAGTTTCATCTTCAGTATCAGTCCTTCCAATGAATATTCAGAACTGATTTCCTTTAGGTGGACTGGTTGGATCTCCTTGCAGTCCAAGGGACTCTCAAGAGTCTTCTCCAGCACTATGGTTCAAAAGCATCCATTCTTTGGCTCTCAGCTTTGTTTATAGTCCAACTCTCACATCCATACATGACTACTGGGGAAACCATAGCTTTGACTAGATAGACTTTTGTTGGCAAAGTAATGTCTCTGCTTTTTAATATGCTGTCTAGGTTGGTCATACTTCACTGTCCTGAAAATCCTCTGTGCTCTGCCTATTCATTCCTCCCTTCTTTCAAGCCCCCAGCAGCCATTTGGCTTTTACTGTCTCTGTAGTTTTGCTTTTAAGAATGTCTCACTGTTGTAATTATATAGTATGTAGCTTTCCAAATTAACTTCTTTTACTTGGAATGTGCCTTATGTTACTGTATATCTTTTTGTGCCTTGACAGCTTTTTTTTTCTGAATAATATTATATTGTGGGGATATATTAGTTCATTTGTACATTCACTATCTTTTGAAGGACATCTTGGTTGCTTTCAAGTTTGGCAGTTATGAATAAAACTGATATAAACATTCCTGGGTAGATTTTTCCATTGACATAAGTTTTCAGCTAATTTGGCTAAATACCAAGAAGCATAATTTCTGGTTTGTAAGACTTGGTAGAAACTGACAGCTTGTCTTCTGTTGTGGTTGTACCATTCTGCATTTCCACCAGCCTTGAATGACTGTTCCTGTTGCTCCATGTTCTTGCCAGAATTTGGTGTTACCAGTGGCTTAGATTTTAGCCGTTCTAATAGGTATGTTGTGATATCTCACTGTTGTTTTAATTTACAGCTCCCTAGTGACATATGATAAGGAATATCTTCTCATATGTTTATATGCTATCTGTATGTTTTCTTTGGTACGATGTCTGTTCAGGTCTTTACCCGTTTTTATTTG